CTCCAACACAGATAAGAGGATTATATCATTTTGAAACAGCAACAGTTTTGTGGAAAAGGAGGGAAAGAAATGAGGCTGGCAGCACCGGAAAAAAAAAAAAAGATCAAATTCCTCAGATAAGTTACAAATCACATTTCAGGTGTATAACTTTCTTGTTTAACATAAAGTCTTTTATTATCTGTGGATGCGCTGGATTTGATGACTGTCAAGCAGCCCTGAATAATGAATCACCCAAACAGATAGAGTTCATCTGTGTCATTATCAGTGGGCTCCGCCAGCATCAACAATGGAGCAGCTATTGAACTTTGCTGCAAACTTGAAAAATAATATTAAAAAATAGACGTATAAAGAGCCTGCAGGTCTGTGACTCCACTGCACTGATGAAACTGCCACAGACTGTAGAAAAAACATGGAATATCACATTATACAGTTTCTATTTAATGTCTTTTTCAGCTTTAATTTGGGTCTTTGCTGGTTACTTGAGCTTAAATATCCAAAATTGGGCAAATGGGGAATACAAATACCACTGAAATATGGCTGGAAAGATCTCAGTTAAGTAATAGTTTTGAATCAATCATACAGCTATCAGCCACTGGAATGATTTTATTTCTAAATGCTTCGACATTATTTTCAGCTTTTGGCAAATGTGGTGGTCACCAGATATGCACACACATACACACAGAATGGCAGCATCAGTGAAAGGTCTCTTAAGAGAAACAGAGTGGCTTTTAGTTTCCCCTTTTAAAAAAACAGAGTCAGCTTGTCCTTGTTTCCCTGCACTGTACCATTATGCACGTGTCTAGTGTGTGTGCCCTGATGTGTGTGTGTGTGTGTGTGTGTGTGTGTGTGTGTGTGTGTGTGTGTGAGAAAGGGAGGGGATGCTGTCAGCTTCACACAGGATCACGGGATCCTCTTCCTCACTGTCTCTGCTGCAGCAGAAATCCTCCCATCTGTCGCTCCTAATCAGCAGAGAGCAGCTTGCATGTTCACAGGGTCTTATACGAGCATGACATGTCTCGTGCACACGCAAACACACACACACACACACACACAGATTACTCTAATACTGACACAGCAAAGCAAAACAGCAGCATCACGCGCCCCTCTGGCCATTACTCATTAAAACAGCGTGTTAGCAGACCGACAACTGCTGCAATTTCCCGCCTCTGTCCATTTCTTAAAACCATTTTAAAGCTCCTCAATTTGTTATTTTATGTTATTCTTATGTTCTCCAAAAGTATCTTTTATTGTGAGAAACCTCTGCAACCTCTGGGCTGAAAGATGAAGTCAACACAGAAGTGCAAAAAACTGCAATACCTCAAATGGCCACATGAGGCTCACTTTAAAAGAGAGTCAGTCCTCATTGACCTTCATGTTAAAATGGTCAACTTTATGAAAGAGGTAAACCAGGTCACAGGTTGGTTGAAAACACAGCTTTGGTCTCTGCAGCTAACTTCACTGTTTATGACAACTTTGCATGGAGAGAATGTTTATACAACTCCCCTGTTTAAGTTGTATTAACAATCAAAACGATGCATAATTAAGGCTGCTCCGAGTGACAGATGGGGACAGCCCGCTGACCAACTGATTTTTGTGTTCATTAGGAGATATGAGCAGTCAGGAACTGCCTAGATTGGAGCAGCCAGAGCCACTGCAGTGAGCTTTAAAACTGTCCTACAGAAAACCTTTGGGTGACACCACTGAGAGTTTGTCCAGCTTTACGTACAGTCCACTGTAGCACTGGTGCAGCTTACTGTTTTGATTTCATGGCTTCCATCTCAACTGTTTTGGTTCCCCAATCTCAACCTCATCTCCAGTTGCAGAGCTAATGGGTCTAGTGTAGCATTTAGCTGCTGAACAGGCAGATACTTCTCTTAAGAGACCAAATCAGCACTGAAAGGAGAGGGTATGTTGTATGAAACACAACTCAAAATACCTAATGTTGCACCGATGCTATTGGATGGATAAATAGTCGTACGAATTTTGCTTTAAAGTGGCAAACCATTCATTCTCACAACAAGTCTAGTGCATTGTGAGTCAAGTGAAAATGCAGCTAACCCAGCAACACACAACGCCTCCTCCTGTCCTGAAGTCAGTTTTGGGTTGAAGCTTCTGTGAGAATTATCCATGAATATTTGGAAGTTCAACAGGGTGGGTGGGAAGAGGATAGATGCACCTACGAGACAATTAGCAAAGACTGAAAGGTTAAAGTTCTACTTTGTTGGGATGCAGGTTGGAGCTACATGATGGCTTAGCTGCCACCTACAGTTTTCAGACAATTTGCTAAAGTTTTTGTAGATTTGTGATCTCCGACATTGAACTTTCAGGGATCAGCTTTGATTATTTTAAAGTTATTCCAGACCACAGCCTCTGTCTAGACATCAAACTTTTTTAACACCTTGCCGACGTAGCTGTAACTTTTCCAAGTGACGTACTAAGATTAAATGTCTCCGTCTGAAAATAAGAATTGCTTTTAATAAATAACAAATAATGTTGCATTATTATTTCTAAAGTCATGGGCTTCTGGGGAGGGATTTTTGTGATAATGCCAAAATAATAATAAACCATTCTAATGCAATTTTGGATGTTGATTACTATGACAACAGTTGAAGCCTAAAAGAAGGAAGCTATCTCCCGTCATTACGAGCAGTATAAACACGACCCTTCCCTGCTCGCAGGATGCAGTTTTGGATAACAATCTTATAATCTGGTATTTTTCACAGCTGTGTTTTTGTTTTATTGAATAATGCAAGTGGTTTAAAGTTAATTAAAGTGTAACATTCTGGCAGCAATAGCAAAGTCAGTGAAATTTTAAAACCCACAAATCCCAGCAGCGCACTGGGTAGTTGCTGAATCATCAGCACTGATCAACAATGCTGTCAACCCCCCTGCAGGTATAATGTGGTCACTTTGTGAAATGGTGCAGAAAAAAATCTGATTTCGTTTCCATTCGAGTAACATCATTTACAAAAAATGTGGGGCATTTTTTTTGAAGCCAGTGATGCTGTCTGTTTACATGAGATTTCCTGAGAGGATCAAAAATCCCTGCAGCATAATCTAACAATAGCTGCTGTATCACGAGACCTCTCAGAGGTATTTGTGTATTGTAGCATAAGGAAGATAAAAATAGTGCTTTCTGCCTCTCGCTCTCTCCATCCCTCTATCTTCCAGTGTAAATGCTAATCTCAGTCTCGCAGCACAGAAAACAGACGCTGTGGACCAAGTTGAGTCTAAGTCTGACGTGAAAGTGGAGAACAAAGGAGGGCAGATAGGCAGAGGGAGACGGAGACAAACAAGGTGGGAGGACTTAAGAATGAAAGGTTTAAGTCTTCAACTCAGCTATTAGAGAAAATAAGACATCACATCACAACCATCTAACAGCTCCACTGAAATCTCGTAGCAGTGACTGGTGTTCTTGACTGTGGTTTTAGATCCAAAGACTGTTTCCATAAGTACCAACAGCAACAACCAGCAGAGACGTCCACTGTAGAAAGGCCAAAGACCTATTCCCAGCTGCAGAAAACTGACTAAAATAGAACGGCCAGCGCTTTGATTAAAGACGCCGATCTTGCTATTTCTTGTTAAAAATTCTTCTCGTGTCAGGTCCATTAAAAAAATCCCTGATTACAAGCCAACATACATTTTTTGTGGCTTCTTAGAAGATAACCTGGAAAATGTAGAAGCATCTCTTGAGACATGTCAGTGTTTTAAAGGAATATTTGGGGGGAAAATATGCCTCCTTGCTTTCTTGCTGGGTTCAGATCAATACGACTCTCATGTCTGTTGCTAAATACAAACCTACAACTGGTTATCTTAGTTCAGTAGCGCTGGAGGCAGCTGGAGGCAGCTACCCTGACTCTGTCCAAAGATAAAAGCTTAGCTCTGGTGCAACCTCATGGCAGAGTGGTTAAGACACATACCAAGATATTACTTGGGCACGTACACCCTGAGCAGTGGATCCCAAAACTTACTTGAATATTTCCCTTTTACACTGCTTTATAGTTGCACTTGTACTTGTGCTTTCTACTCAACCACATTTATCGGACAGCTAATGCCAATTTGAAGATTAGGATTTTACATAATAGATACTATGACAAGCTTTAAAATACAGCGTATTAGGATTAAACCAGTAGTTTCCAACCTTTGTGGCTTTTTCCAAAAACCAAAGTATTGTCAGGCTTAGATTTCAGATGTGCATGAGTTGTTAGCAGCTCCATCAAATGGGTTTTTTCCCCTTTAACTCCTCACATGGCTTCCCTTCAGGAAATGTTTAGAAGAATCTATATCTAAAAATCTAAGTTTTGTGTATCAGAACTTTTTTTTTTGTTTGTTTGTTTGTTTTTCCTCTCCCATTAATCCATTAATCATGTTTGGAGCCCTCAGGTGTATCTGCTGTCCATGTATATAAAACTGTGTATAAAGTAGTTTAAACCTGCAGCAGCTACAACGGTAACATGCAGACGACACACTGGTGCTTCACTAATAATCTAGTACAGTCACATATAATAATAAATCAGTCAGAGGGACCAAAGCCGGACTTTTACTTTAATACTTTAACAACATTTTGCCACTGATGCGTATATTCGTTTACTTAACTAGGAATTTTCATGCAGGATTTGTACTTGCAGTGAAGTAGTTTTAGTTTTGTTCTCCTTTATTGACACTTTTACTTAAATGAAAAATCGGAATATTTTATACCTCACTGGATCACTGGAGCTAGGCTAGTAGTTTCCCTCTGTTTCCAGTCTTTGTGCTCAGCTAAGCTAACAGTTGCTGTATCCAGTTTCATATTTACCAATACATCTATGAGAGTGCATCAATTTTTCCATTTGATTTCTGGCACAAAAAAAGCAAGTAAATACAGAAACTACATCTTTTAAACCTTTATAGGCAGTAATTAGTAGAATCCAGACAATGACTTCTGCTGAGTTATATCTTCTCAGTTCTCCACTCGTCAGGTGTCCTGCTGATCTAAACCCTTCTGTCTTTCCTCTCCTCAGGTCTGTCCTGCACTCCTGTCCTGCCGCCACGCCGGGGTTCCTTCTATGTGGAGACCGGCACAGGGGTGTCGATTGGCAGCGTGTTGGCCTTCTGGTGCAGGGAAGGATACCAGCTGGTGGGCAGCGACAAAATCTACTGCAATGTCAGGAACGGCAAAGCACAGTGGAGCAACTACCTGCCCGTCTGTGAAGGTATGTAGACTGGAGTTGGGATATCAAACCATCTGGACTCTGACTTGGTTGTATACAGATTCATGCCATGACCAAAATGAACCGTCATCTTAAAAACACCAGAGCCTTAACAGTGCTATGTTCTCCCACATTCTGTAAGAACAACTACTCCATTGTAACAGCTGACTCTACTTCTCTCTACTCATGCCTGGTTATGCGTGAAATCTGGTTGCAGCTTGCACGTAAGAGAGCTGGTCAAATTACACAGCATGTTTTTATGCTGAGGAATCAGATCTAACTTTTCCTCTCAACATGCAAACATGTCATGTGTAATCATCATCCTGCTGACAGTAGAGACGAGAGAGAACCGAACCTGAACTGAATTCAAAAAGCAGCTAAACATCTGTGCAAAATGCCAGCTCGAGAAGAAGCAATAGAAATTTAAGATTTTCTGGATCTTAGGGATTCAATGACAAACTCATTTAGAGATAAAAATGTCACCTGAGGTTGAGATTGTGTCATTTTTGTCCTTCTAACAGCGATCCCCAGGCCAGAGGACCGTGGACTAAGAGTGGCTGTACTGGCTTCAGTTGTGAGTGGCATCGTCATCCTCGCCATGTCCCTGTCCTTCCTCATCTGCTGTCTGCAGGAGCGATCCAGTCGGGACCGAGCCAAGAAAGAGGGACGAAGCAGGTAGCAGTGGAGACGTCAGCGCTGGGGACTTTGGTTGTTCTCAAACTCTGGTGAGCTGATAAAGTTCTGTCCTCTTCAGGCGCAGAGAGAAGCGATCGGCCCGTCGCAGCGAGTGCTGGCTGGAAAGAGAGGAGGGCGAGTGGGAAGCCTTCCCCCCACCCAAGATCTTCCACCTGTCCCAGAGGATGAACCCCCGCCTGGCTCCTGACAGCCCCCTCTACCTGACTGGAGGCCTCAGTGGATATGAGAACAGAGGATATCAGAGGTAAACTGGCAACACTCTCATGTATAGGGAAACACATCCATCTATAATGAAGTGTGCAGAAAAAAGAAGTCATGTAAAATGCACAAAGCTCAATGGCTCTCCAGCTCTCAGCATAGAGGAAAACAGGAAGTAAGAAGGGGTGGGAGCTCCAGGCAGTGATAAGCCAGGTAGCAAAACAAGACACTGAAGACTGAAGTGTCTCTGTAAAGTGAACTAGCCTCACCCTGAATCACTCTGATCACTCTAAAACTAAAACAGCACCGGACATGACTTTGGAAGCGAGAGCTCAGAGTGACATCTGGTCTTCCTCGCTGTCCCATAGCCTCAACTAAACAGGAGTGTTTATGTAACCCAATTGTAAGGTTATTCATAATTAATCAGTCTCTCTCCATGGCTTTCACCTAACTTAACTTACTCAGGGTTGCAGATGTCAAATACAATAAAGCAACTCCACGTGTGGTCTAAAAACAAGGGAGAAAATGTTGAAGAGTCAGAATGAGTCTCTTGGACTGGTTGGTCAATCCACAACTTTGATCCAGACTGAAATGCTATAAAAGCCATCAAATGAGTGGCCATGAATTTTATACAGACATTCATGATAACCAGATGATGTATCCTCCTGACTTTGGCCAAACTCGTGCAATACAGCTCTCTACATGACAGAACCAGTGTCAACCCCAACCAGATATGCACCCTGCTGGATCTCTGCCTGACCACCACCTATTTCAAATACAGCAAAGGTTTCTACAGACAGATGATAAAGCAGGATATGATTGAGGCCGTGGCTACCTTGTGATTGACAGGTTGCAATGGTGTCACAACTTCTCAGTCAGATCCACCTCTTGATCATTACGTCCAGTTTCAAAAGAGCAAAATGGTGATGGCCAGATGTCGAGCTTCCCTTCATCCATCCATCCATCCATCCATCCATCCATCCATCCATCATCCATCCATCCATCCATCCATCCATCCATCCACCATCCATCCATCCATCCATCTATCCATCATCCATCCATCCATCCATCTATCCATCATCCATCCATCCATCCATCCATCCATCCATCATCCATCCATCATCCATCATCCATCATCCATCCATCCATCCATCTATCCATTTTCTTCCACTCATCCGGGGTGAGATGACCCGACCCCGGATAAGCGGAAGAAAATGTTGAACTTAAGGCTTCAAAATGTTGGTCCGTACACCAACAAGTGGCTACGTCTCTCTTGTACATACAGTCTATGCTTCTGACAAAACTCAAATCAACCCGGAAACTTCCTCAATGCGCCCTAAACCTAACCTGAGGTTGTTGACAGTAATATCAACTTTTAGTGAGTTGGCTAATATGATATGAAACATCATTTGCTTTGTTTGCATCAACCAAACATGATGTCTCTCTCTTTCTTTCAGGAGTCAGGAGAGTTTGCTGAAGGCCTCCCTGCCCGGACTCTACCGCTCCGACTCCCAGCTCTACCCGCACGTCGTCCTCCAGAGGGTCCCCACCCCGACCGCACCCTCCGCCCCTTCAGCTCCATCCGCCCCTCTCTACCTCCACCTTCCCCCGTCCTCCTCCTCGGCCGGCACCTCGCCCGCCCACACCACCGTCACCCACAGCCAGCCGCACATGATGGCGCAGTACCCCACACCGACGTACCCACCCAACCCCAACACAGCCGTGCCCGCCTACCCCCGCCCAACGCCAGCGCCTATCTACCCCAACCCCAACCCCACACCACAGAGGCCATGGCAGTAGCTACGTCTTCAGCTGTCCACATTTCCAGACTACTGTGCTGTTCCCGCTGAAGGAACGCACCAACAGAAAACGTCACCGGCACGTTTTGGAGACACGTGATGTCTTTTTTGCTCTTTTTTAATCCTCGTTTTCTCCCACAGAAGTCTGCAAATGTCAAAAGCGGACATAAATAAATGTGCAGAAACGGACATGCAGCCAGTGTAGATGTTCCCCCTTTTACTGCATGCTCGATGGACTTCTCCTGCAGTTTGGATTCAGCTGAAAGTGACTTTTTTGCCCCCCTCGATTCTTACTGAACTACTGCTGCTGCACCTCCTGCAAGAGAAGGTCTTGTGTGAACATCCCGCTCTCTTTAACTGCTAGATCTTACAAGAAAAACTTCATGTAGCCGATCAACAAAGGGACACCGAGAGTTGTAATTTAGAGTGCACTAATTCACTTCATGAACCTGCAAGGACAGACTCGTTTAGGCAGCTCTCAGTAACATTTTTTTAATAGCTAATTGATCCCGAGGTCCAGCTAATCTGATCTACACCTAAATAAACTGACAGATATCTATATATTTTTTGACTAAACTCCTTGAATCTCACTCCTTTTTGACCAGAGCCATGTGTGATGTAATGAAAGCAGCTCTTGTGAATACATTCTGGTATTTTCTCACACTGTGTGGGGGGGGGAAACAGACTGACTATAGGGATATATGGGTAGCAAGCACACTGTGATTAAAATGCTCGCTGTTGCTGCAGCCGCTGAATGGAGGCAATTTGTCGACGTTTGTATGGATTTAATAACGCAGTAATCATTTTCTCTCACGCCGAAACTAAACATGACATTTTTGTTCTGTCTGTCTTTGCTTGTTTTTCCCTGTCGCACCTCTTTGTGTTGCGTAATTATTTAGAACAAAAGCTTGTTTCGTGGTCGGCCGTTTGAATGGTGAAATATTCTGGCATTCAGGGGGCAGGGAAGGGTTTGGGAGCGTGTACACCTGTAATAATTATAAATAATTATCGCATAGTAAATTAACAAGGCCGAGCCCTTTTGAGCTCTACAGAGGTTGTTAGTAAAACAAAAGTTAAGTCTTAAGATTGTGATGCAACTAATGCTCCCTATGTTATAGCAAACATAAGGGAGTCAGACACACTGTGAGACTGCTGCTGCTGCTCCGTCCCTGATGCACTGGAAACTGCACTGAACTGACATGTAAGGTTTAAGCAGCGAGATGGAAAAACGTCTTAACCTTTACCCTTTTGTTGTTCCTTTGAGTTATGTACATGCATTTAAATCATAAACTCTGTGCAAGGCCCCTTTACTGTCAGGCTTCTTGTTTTTTCATAGAAGAACTTGAGTAGAAACACTAATAAAACTGCACTTTAATTTTATTTTTTATTTTTGTTTAACTTGGACTCAACAGTCTTAGGTATTTGTTTTACTGTAAACTATTTGTTGTATAACAATAAGATTGCCATAGACGCTGAATAAAGAGATTTTTTTGTTTCGTACAACAGTTCAACGGGTTCAGGTCGTGTTTTCAAGCGTCTATTTCTGAAAGAAGAGGAAAGGATGGAGCAAAATGAGGGGTGGAAAATACAGAGAACGATGGACCTCATTCATCACCGTGTCATGACAGTTGAAAATGAGGATGTGGCCTCATTTGCCTGCAGAGTGCCGCTGACACACGAGGAAGATGGAGTGGTCCGTCTGCCCACACTGGACTTCAGTGACAGAACACAGCTGTAGATGCTGGTACTACATGTGTAGGTTGGCGAGTTGATGTGTTGTAGCAGCAAATGTTAACCAAATAAAAGATGTTTGGACGATCTGGGGGGAAAAAAGAAATGTCGATGCAGTGTGTTGATGGTGCATTTTTTATTACTGAAATGAAACACTCAGAAACACAAATGTGATAAATATGCACTCAAAACTACTGCAAAGTTCACTTTATGCAATGCACTTGAAAGACTATGTTTTTACACAAAGAGATGGCACTCCAGTTTCACTAACAAGACCCCTTGTTACGCCGGACTTGCTTGTTGACACTGAACTAAACAATGCCAGCATAAGGCCGCTACTGTGAGTGCTTTCAGATAGTACGCCACGTTCTGGGATCAGAGCGGGGACATTAACACAACAGCTACGGTGTCTGGTATGGTGTTCGCCTCATGCTGGCTCTTCCTTTAACACAGACATTGATTCAGCTCTTTGAAATGGAGGCGAAACAACGTTCCCCCCCTTTATGTCGCAGGGTGGAAAAAAGGCACAACAATCCCACCTTCAACAATCTGTGTGGAAGTGGCTGAAGTCGTGCAATAAGGCAACCAGTCTCTAAATTTAAAAAGATAAGAGTTAACAAACAATACAAAATACATAAAAGGAAGGTTTCCTACTTAGGCCTTATTAATCATTTTGTTGCCTAAATTTCCCACCTACTATACATTTTCTTTTTCTACTGATTTTCAAACTAGAGAACCTCTTGTGGTTTGACCACACCATCTGCAGTACTCATCGATGTTCGGACCACAGACTGTATATAAAGACAGACAAACCCTGTTTGTCATCACCTGCACTTCAGGAAAGTTTCCTGAAATGCATACTTTTTGAAGCTTTGTGTGGTGACGCCAGTCTTCACCATCTTTAAAACTTCTGGTTAATTCAAACATGACCAAAGATGTGGCCTGTGAGTGGAGCTTAGATGAGCTGTGAAAACATCTGTCAGCTATGGACGGTCCTGGGATAGCATCCACCTGTCAGTCCAAGCAGCTGCACCCCTAAAACTTTAAGCTTCAGTAAAAACTAACTATGAGCTATGTTACAGTTCATTACCCAAAACTTTTTTTTTTTTCATTTGTCGTGGTAAACATGTTTATTTCTGCTGTAAAGTTGCACATTTGAACATGGAGGTCTGTGGGCACTGATTCTCTGTAGGAGTCTGCCTCAAGTGGACATTTGAGGAACTGCAGTTTTTTGGCACATCTGCATTGGCTTCACTTTTCAGCTGCATGGTTAGGATCCATAAGTATTCATTACTACTTTATTGAATACTTGGTACTCATGGGTCAGGCCACACCCGTCTTCAAACTACACCTGGAAAGTTTCATGATTGCATCTTGCATGGTTGTGGCACGATAGAGTTTGTTCACAGACAGTGAATCAGACTTATAAACACTAGCCAGAATACTCCAGACCACCATAGAGGTACTTCCTGCTACAGTAGATGTGCCCAGGCCCACATTTTGCTGCGAAGAACTCCCTCACAGGCTCACAAGGTGGAAATAATACCAAGCACACTATCATGGCTTGTAACTAATGACAAGTTGAAAAGAAAAATAGCAATTGAAGACAAATGTGTGATAAAATTTGACAAAATGTGTTAGAGCTTTATAATGATGGCAGAAGAGTGAGCTGTGTATGTTTTGGGCTTTTTAACCACAAGGTGCTTTGGAAATGGAAAACTGGCAGTAAAATGAGGCAGTAGGCAGACCGTGAGCGATGGAAATCAGCTGTTCTGTGATGATATTCATACACACAATGAACCGTTTTGCATTTAAGGGTGAAAAATCAACACTAAACACCTGCTCATTTGTTTTGAGTCTGCCTCATACACAGTTGTATGCTTGCATGTTTGCATGTTTGCATGTTGTGGAGGCTGGAGGGGCACTGGAAGTAAGTGTAGGCTGATAGAAAAACGGAGACTGGAGAAAAAAAGACGACTTGCGAGGAGGTAAGAACAAGTTTTGCATTCAGGTTTAGCGTTTCGCTTATTACAAACTGAGGAGAGGATAATTAAAGTGAGGAAATGGCAAATTGAGCAGCTGTTAAAGAGAAAATTGCCATTAAAAATGTTAATGGGTTAAAATGCCACTTTGGAATTTACCTGACATTCAAAAACTAGTTCAGATTTGTTTGGAATGTTTGAAGTTCATCAACTTGCAGCATAAAATGTGACAAAACTTTTCAAATTTGCAATGAAGTCCAGCTTTTGTTGATTCTTAAAGCCTGACAACGGCTTTCACATTCATATTAAAGCGGTTAATTCAACAAATAAACATATATATTTTAGTTGGCAGGTTATAGCTTTGGTTGTTTTGTCCAAGTTTCAGGATAATATTCTCAAAGTTCAGAGATGAACTGATCTAGTGTAAAAAAAAAAAACAAACTAAACTGCAACAAACGGTTCTTCTGTTTTGTCTAATCGCTGCACTTACTTCACCTTCACGTTCCAAATGAGGCGCTGAGCTCGAGGAACATCAGACATCTGGTGAAAGCCTGAAAATATCCTCAAAACTCAGCAGGGACGCTCCACAGGGTTGATGATTCAGTGCGTGCACAAAGCCACTTCTACTTCCCCGAAGAATTCCTTTCATTGTACTCTGCAGCCGTTTGCAAAGCAGAAAGAAACAGCGACAAAAAACCTGAGCAACTTTTACCAACGTGCACATTTTCACAGTCAATTTTACTTTCTAATTCGTAGTTACTGCAGTTTGAGAGGTCATGAGTAATGAGTTTCCTCCGACAAGAGGTGAAGTGAAATGTTGATAATCGCTATCTTTGACTTGGCAGGACCTGAAGGAGTGACACTATCAAAGATTGCCAGCATGGCCGTGCGTTCTGCTGACAGCCTTTCAAAGCCCCAAAAGCTGGACGCTATCGACAAAGAGTGTGAAAGTGATGTGTGGTATGTCCTCTGGTTCGTAGCGGACACCATCGTCCTGATCATCGGGGTGGTGGCTAACGCTACCATGCTTTGGTTGTTCTTGAAGGAAAGGAAATCACTGTCTGCCTCAAAGGTTGGTACATCACACCGTCAGTGTTACGCTACAGGTAGTTTCTGCTGAGCGCTCCATATACTTACTCAAACTTCAAACTAGAACTACCTTCTTGCAGTATTATACCTCAGCCAACCAATCAAGCTGCAGGTTACACCTTGTCTGTCCAGACTTGACTCTTGTGAGTGAAACATCATCACTTTGTCCTGTTAGACATTTGTGTAGGATTTCTTTCAT